TCGAAAGTCATGTCATTCGGGGATACAAAGTCTGGCGTTAAACTAAAAAGTAACTCAGTAGCTTTTTGTTCATCTACGTGGTGGTTTGAAAATTTATACCCCTTAAACCATCTCATTGTTTGCCATACGGTTGATTGAGATGTCAAACCGTCTAATGAAGAACAGAAGTCGGCCCACCCTTTACTTTTAGCTATTCGTATCAATTTTTGAGATTCGCGAATTTTACTGTGTATGAATTCATAATTTTGGGGGGTTGGATTACGCCTAAATTTAGACAACGCTAGCCGGCGTTCAGCCACACATTTCGATAACTCAGGCTTCCAATAAGGTTTAGGTAAAAAACTACTATCGGGGTTGGGGTTTATCTTAATTAGAGGGATATGAACATCAGAAGCCAATTTTATGTAATCAATGAAGGTGTCATAGTCAGTCTGTAAGTCTCCGGAGAATGTATAATTTGAAAAGAGGATGTTGAGTAGCTCAGTGTATGCAGTCCAATCAGCATTTTTGAAATTTTTGCGAACCTTTGTTGGGGATACAGCTTGGATGTTTGAAGAGATTTTAATAACCCTGTGGTCACTGCCTAGTGTCTCATTCATAACTGACCAGTCGAACTGCAGTGCGATGTCAGATGATACCACAGAGATGTCAGGTGAGGACTTTTGCCATTCCAAGTTAACCATTTTTAACCGAGTAGGATCGCCGGTGTTTAAAGTAATAAACTGATTGTCTGTTAATGCTTCAAAAATTTGTATACCCCTACTATCTACTCTATTTGACCAATTAGAATGATGCGCATTAAAATCACCTAGAATTACCGTGTTTCTTGGAGCAAAAGAAAAAAGGGCATCCCAATCATTTTGGGAAGTTCTTATGGAAGGGGGACAGTAAATAGACACAATATTTTGTATCGGTCCACAGTTAAATACTTTTAAACAAATAAATTCTATACCTTGATTACTGAGTTGGACTTCATACAGCTGAGATCTTATAGATTTATGAGTAAGAATTGCAACCCCCCCGTAGCCATCAAACCTGTCCTTCCGGAAGATTGTGTAATTGCTCAGCCTCATATCACTTTCATTCTCCAGCCACGTCTCACTAATCGCAGCAATGTGTATGTGTTCTTGGTTCAGCAATTGTTCCAACAAAATTAATTTAGGTTTTACGCTTTGAGCATTCCACTGTATCATATTTAGCTTAACGTTAGGTTTATGTTTGTCCATTGAAAAGTTCAAATAATTTCTTCACAATATTCCAATCCGACACGTTATCAACTACAACTAAGATCAGCCATTCTAAACAACATTGAATTGCCATCCGAATTTTTTCCCCTACCGTGCATCTCTTCAAAAACAGTATATTTTTCAGTCTAGTTAACAGCTCATCAAAATTGACTTCTTTCTTTTTAGAGTCTTCGGGGTCGTGCTCCAGTTCTTTCGTTTCTCCCGTTTCTGTTGGTAGCCAGTTTGCCCAATCATCACCTTTATCAACCCTTGTCTTCTCGTGTTTTTTAGTACGTTGTTGGTCTATGTGAGTGCGTGCCTTATGAATGGTAGCTTCCGTTTTTACCACCTCAGCATACAGAGGTGAGCTTGGTGATTTTACGAAGCTAGCTTGGTCATCAGAAGTTACAAATGTGGGCGTGAGCTTAGTTTTAAGTTTAGGGAATACGCCATCTGTGGGAGAGGATTTATTGAATTCCTTCTCATCTCTGCGTGGGGAAGGTGCAACATACAACTGTAAGGCTTTCCTATATGTGCAATTGAACTCTGCCATTAGACTTTTAAGGTTCTTTTCCTTCACAAATGCGGGGCAAGTTTTAGAGAGTGCCATGTGTGGCCCTTCACAATTCAAACATTTAAAATGTTGTGTGTCGCAATTTGCATGATTACTACCACATTTGGGGCATAATGTCTTTTTAGATGGACACACTCTCACTGTGTGGCCGAACTTCCAACAACGAGAACATTGTGAGACAGGAAAAACAAATGGTTCCACATTAATCCTTAAACTGTCTGCATAAATGTAACCTGGTAACATATCACCTTTGAAACACAACCGAACCGCTTCACTCGTTACCCACAAACCTTCCGGCGAGTCATTATTACTGCGCCTCTGTAGCCGCTTTAATGAAACCAACTCAAAGTTTTCAGGACAAGTTATGCAGCTCATGAGCTGTTCATCAGATAGGTCAAGATCTACGTCTTTAATCACACCGTACGAATAACTTTTAAAATCTGGCCTGCTAAATCTCCAGTCCATATCCATGAAATCTTTACAAGTTTGTAGTTTAGTGGCACTCAACTCGTTTTTACAATCGATGCGCACTCTGTAGTTATTTAAGTATTTTACTTTTATTATATCTGTGATATCTTTTTCTTTAAATAGTCTTGCAAGTGCGAATTGCCTTGGTAACTTCTCTTTTGATGAAATATAAATTTCAATACAGTTTTCTTTGGTTTTTTTCCCTTTGCTTTGAACCCAACCCTCTTCTTCCTCTTCTCGGTCTCGCTTTTTCGGTCTTATCATTTCTTCATTTGTTATCACGTCCATATTAAATTGCTCCTCAATATCCTGTTCCGCCACAGATTTGTTACTGCTAATCGAAGCACTCCTTGATTCAAAATTATCGTTAAAAAGTTCTTTGCTATCCACCATTGTAAACAAACGATCCGATACTCATTATATTAACTAACAATGCGCTAGACCGATTCAAGGTCAAGCCCGTCGCTCGAGAGTAAATAACTCGATAACTAATGAGATATAGATAAAGTTTACTGCACGCGTCCGTACGAAGCGAATACCGCTGCGAAACTGCAAAACAAGATTATTTTATGTTTAGCTTAGGTTTAAACAATTGAGTCAGGTTTTGTATTTTTATCTTATTTTGACCTACCTTTAATTTGAAATACAAAAACTGGCTCAATGGCTTAGACCTAGACTAAAGAAGAACCTTGTTTTGAAATAAGGCCGAATACGTTTACTTCTTTATATTTATTTACATTTCATAAACATGCATTTCACATACATTTAATTGTGGAAGAGCCAAGCTTCGGCAAGAATGGGTCGGCTCGAGTCCGGAGGCTCAATCCCTCCCCTTCCCCTATCCTTTACTGATCCTTATATCCGCAATCCCTATCCCCAAAAGGCCGGTAACGCACTCGTAACTCTTTTGGTGTTGCAGATGTCCATGGGCGGCGCCGATTGCTTACCATCAGGTACTCCGTCCGCTCGTTTGCAGACTTATACCATAAAAAAAATTAATTCGAACTAATTTAAGCCACAACTACTAACAAACAACACCGGACAAGGGCTAAAAAACAAAAAAAAAAAGATATTGAAAAACAATTTTATTTTTCTTCACACTTTCACACGTATAAATAATAGCACTCCTTTTTACAGTCGTATAAATATGACTTCGTCTTAGCCATAAACTCATAAAGTAATCTAATTGATAAATAAAAGCATTTTAATACAAAATATAAAAGCGACACGCTTATTTGTAACTAATAAGGCCCATCATAGTGCTCATGTCTAATAAACATACTTATTTGTCTGAACTAAAACTAAGAATATGTATGTTTAAAAAATGTAAACTTACACGTTACATAGATACGCGTGCGGTCACATTTTTTTATTTAATATCTTCTGAAAGACAGTCTTAATATTACAAATTACAAAAAACTATTAATCAAGAACTTATTATCCATTTCAATCGCTTAGATACCTAATATACAAGGAAATACATCTCTGAGCACCTGCTTCTTTTATTTGAAGTCGGATAAGAATACAAGATAACTAGATTACCTATTAAGGTTGTATAACCCTAACTTAGGGTCCCTAAGAAATGCATTCTTACTTAGTTGCTTTCACATTTCATCGAATCTTCAACTTTACATCCATATAATTGTAAATAATATATTTTCTCAGTCTTTACTTTGACATACAAGGCATATTTCCCAGGAATATAAATCGACAAGCTGTATAAATTGGCGAATATACTTTTAATAATTTCATTATAATATAAGCGATAGGCAGTAAACAGACCATATAGTTAGCCTACCTCTCAAAAATACAGTCTTACACAGAGGAACAAATCAGTTTAGTCAAAACTCTATTTAAAAACCTTAAAATAAGGACCTCTTTCTGAAGCTCAAATAAAACCACTTTTCCATAACACCAACGATATGACAACCTCAAAAAAAAAAATTACTTCATTGTGCCAAATGATCACAATCAGTTGTTGCGATTTGTATGGGGAAATAAAATTATTTTTGTGATTTCGATATTGGTGAAAGAGCCGATTTTCGTGCTCAATTACGCATGAAAATCGGCTCTTTCAATACGTCCCTCGTTCAAAATGCCACTCTACATAAGAAGTTTTATAGAAAATCGGTACATGTCACCGCAAGCATCTTTGGACCGGTACCAGACCCAAGCGTTTCGTGCGCGCCTCAATAAGATATGAAAACATTATAATGGGTGTGATTTACAGGTCCACAGGTCCTCCCCTCCCCCCCCCCCCCCACTTCATCTTCCACCAAGGAAGGGACATATCATTTACTCAATAATAGAGTGAGAATGGACGTCAAATTTTGGCGATGTGAAAGCGTATGGTGTCAATTCGTTCTCCACAATTTGAATTACATTAAACTTTTCACATCAACATTGGTATTCACAACCACACATTTATAATTACAAATGTTTACCACACTTGTACACAAAAATATACACCTTTTTAATTTAAATTCATTTTTAGCCTTAGAAGAAGACTAGGTTTCATTAGGCTATACAAAAAATTGTAAGCAAATTGAGATCCGACCCGAATAAATTAAATATAACGAGGGGATCTTTTAAATGCCTTTAGCTTAAGACCTTTATCCAGAAGTATCTAGACTAATAATAAAGATATGAAGCTACTACAAACCGCCAAATAACTTAAACTTACCGTACATTATCAATTTTATCACAACAGAATAAGGTTGAAAATGTACAGTTTACGCCCAAGCTTGAGTGCTGCCTTCTCTATGTATTTTGGCAATTTCATTCCTAATCTTCCTCTCGTTGGAGGCCACTTCTCTTAGTTCAGCTTCCCTGGCACACGTGTCTTCTAACTGCTGTTGTTGTAAGCGGAGACTGTTCAGTTGTGACTGGAGAGCGGTCACTGTAGAGTATTTTGACTCTTTCAACTGGAAAAATAAGAATTTATTCGTAAAAGTATACCAGTTGCCCGCATATATTTGGATAAACAGATACTCTTTACTAATATAATAAAGAGGAAAAATTTGTAAGTTTGTATGTAGGGGGTAATCTTTGGAACCGCTGGTCGGATTGCCAAAATTCTTTCACTGATAGATAGCTACAATGTTCCTGAGTGCTATAGGCTATAAAACATCACGCTACGATTAAATGAAGCCGAGCAGCGGTTGAAACCGCGCGAGAGTAGTATATTTATTATTTTTAAAAAACGTTGCCCCATTCTGGGATTTTCTCCTGTGCCGTGCAAACATACAGTTTCAAATACACACATCACACCCAGACCCGGAACAACAATTTGTGGATCACACAGAGTTGTGCCATGCGGGAATGTACCCGCGACACATTGCGCGGCAGCCAGTTGCCCAGCCACCGCGCCAACTGTGCATTTATTTAGGTTTTGCAGGCCACCACTGCTGGGTGGGTCATTTGTTTTATCAGCGAACTGCCACGGCGTTATTGAAATGGTTGCCCAATTTTGAAATGTTCAAGTTGATTAGTGTAATGGGTGAAGTATGTGGCAAGACTTTCAGATGAGGAGTGGAACAAAAAGGCGACGAGAAAAGAGGAAGAATAAGACGGAAGACCGAAATTGTCAAAAAGTTGGATGCACACAGCAAATAAGATATAACTTGACATGAATTAAAGAAGGCTTTCAAACGAAAAGTTCAAGCGAAAGGGTCCTAGGAAATCAAAAATTAAAAATTATGATGTCATAAGATTAGGTGCCAATTGAAATCTAATCATATGACAATTCAGTTGTAAATAATGTAATATAAGATAGAGTTATCTTCGTTGGACACATTGTCGCAATTTTTGGTTGACCTATCCTCTAGCTAAGGGTAGCTTCCATAGTAACCACAAAATAAGTTCGTAAATCTAAATTAATGAAAGTTTGGTACATACTTGCGCTGCCCTTTCATTAGCCTTGACCTCCTGGTGGAATTGTTCCATCTGTTCTAGAATCTTCTCTCGTTCTAGCACATTCATCTTCTGCTTCTGTCTATTGGCTTCTATCTTCTCCTCCACTTGTCTTTTGAGGGTGGCCACCACCTCGCTCATTAGGAGGGCGCGAGCTTCACGTTCTTTGGCCCATAACTGGAATTATACAAAGTCAAAATCAAATCATTGATTTCAATTGGATCATTATAAGCACATTTGAACATCAAACAAAGATTGAATGGCAGTCAGCCTCTAAAGTAAAGCTATTTGCTCGGGAAAGAACGAACAAGAAACTCCATGGTTACACGATATTAAAAAAAAATCTTGCTCACACTTCTGTTTTCTCCTGTGTCGTCGGTACAAACATACAATTTTACATGCACATCACACTCAGATCCAGAACGACAATTTGTGGATCACACAAATCATTGTGCAATGTCATACAAAAACCCCGTTTTACAGGTAAATATTTATTTATATGAAATTTTGATTACAACTATGAAGGGAAAATTTACATTTGTCAACTTTACCTATTACATTAGTTCCATATTAGATGTGTGAGAACATTGAAATCTATGAATATCAAATATATGCTTTAACTTACGGTTTCAGTCATGTACATTTATGTCACACACAGTAATGAAACTTCAAGTACTTATCAAACCCAGGAACCCTTGTTTCATTTCAAAAATCCTGTTTTTTGAGGGGAATATCATCAAATGACTTCTCCCACCGAGGGTGGGGCAAAAGGGAATGTCAGGCTCTTACTAAATGACTAAAAACGCCCCTGTTCCATTTTTTGCTTTAGGCCGATGCCGCGGTGCCTCATTGCGCTTACCCCGGAACCCCGGCTAAGCATCAGCCCTTTAAGGCCGCGTATATGGTTTTTAAAAGTCCTAAAGTTGGGACACACAAAAGTCTAAGAGACACATACCTTATCCTGTTTGTCATTGATCATCCTGGCCTCTCCATCATACATGGCTTCTATGGTCTTCTGTCGTTGCAGCTCACGTTCCCTATGTTCTGTTAATTCTGATAGAGCTACGTCCAAAACCCGCTTGTAGGTTGTACAAATTTCTTTCTCTGAGTCATACTCCTAAAAATAAAATTAAATCCTTCGGTTATTCAAAAAACCCGACCCGAAAAACCGCAACGGAGTTACGATTGCGTTGCCGGCCTTTTGAGGATTATGATTTCGGATATTTATTATAAGTATTAGGTTGGGATGTTAGGATTGGCCTTTGATAACCACACTCACATGGCGAAACACAATGCTATCTTTGTTCAACAACGGTTTTCTGTGAGGCCGTGGCCAATTCAAGGGGGGGTGCGGCGGTTGAACCGACCCATTCGTGCCGAAGCTTAGCTCTCCCACACTTATAAACTATAAAATATCCACTATAAACGATAAAATGGATAAGCTAACATACCTGCCATGTACCAAGCACTATTCTAGACTCCCTTATATCACTGACTACTCACTAGCCAAATAATCATCAGTCATACTCTGCCCGACTCAGTAATCGAATCTAAGACCCCTTGATTGGCTTACTTTTGATTGACGACCAATAATTGACAATAGATACTCAAAAGAATTATGTTAACGTCAAAACCATACCTTTTGGACAGCCTTGCGCAATTTGTCCAGCATTTCTAAATCCAACTCTATCTCCTTCATAACAGAGATCACTCTCCTTTTCAGCTTATATTTATGTAGGCCCATGTTCACTATACTGGCATCTCTTTCTGCCACTAGGCGGGTAAGTTCTCTTTCTCTTTCACACGAAATGAATAGTAACTCGTCTAGTATAAGTTTCTCCTTTTCTTCTTGTTTGCGAAGACGTTTCACTATTGTTTCCTTTTCGCTTAATTCTGCTATTTGGCCTTCTAAACTTTCTCTTAAGTCCTAGAAGAAAGAATAAATATTATACAACAATGTTATTATGGGTCAGATAGGAAATGAAAAAAACAAAAGGCGGTCCGGCTTTGGGTTTTTTTTCCTGTGTGTGCGTTTACAATCTCACACATTCGCATGAATAGAATAGTGGGTAGAATGATGGGGACCGATCCCGCAACACATTGGTCAGCAGTGGTTGCCTGGTTACCACGCCGATCATGCAAATAAGTTTTATGTTATGTTATATCTTAATGTTAAATATAAGTTGACTGATATGAACTTAATATATTATATACACAATTTTTTTTCTCTTTTCTCTTTTTTTAAAAAATGTTCCCCACATTAGGTATTTCTCCTGTGTCATGGGTGCGGTTACAAACATACAATTTCACATACCTACACATGACACCCAGACCCGGAACAACAATTTGTGGATCACACAAAGAGTTTTTCCGTGCGGGAATCGAACCCGCGACACGTGCAGCCAGTTGTCCGGCCACCGCACCAACCGTGCAGTCAATTCGTCATAATTATAACAATAAGCGTATATAGAGTGTTGCAATATCAAAATCTTACAATAAATAACGAATACTAATACAAAGTGTATTTATTTAATTAATACTAAGAAAGGCAGTCTTGAAACGCCAAACTCTGTCCGTCAATACTGCTGTCTATGTTCCAAAATGTACTTTCGTATGGAAAAGAACGAGCAACAAATGAAAACTTCGATTTGAGTAAATGTTTTAGTAATAAATCCAATAGCTGGGTAATAAGTTTTATTAAATAAGTACCTATTATTATTATTATTTCATTGCAAATAGGTACAGCCAAACTAGGGACTTACTTACCCTAACTTGTTGTTCCTTCTCCTTCAACTTCTGTTCCTCCACCTCAATCTGTTTACGCAGCATCTCATCTCTCTCCTTCAGAATTTTACGCGTCTCTTCTTCTTCTTTCTGCTTCTGAACTTCTTTTTCCACTATCTGCTCCATCCTGGAACACAATAAGAGGACTGCGATCAACATTTTTAAAGCAAAATACAGCCTTAAATTAGACTTAGCCTGGGTTGCGGAGCAAGCGCAATGAGGTACCAGGGCTTCAGTGTGGAGTAGGAATGGTTATTAGTCAGTATGAAATGTTGCTTGTGAAGATGCACACCAACATCAGATTCCGAAATCTAGGTAGGTAGGTCCCTATTTCAACCAAAAACTGTAAATTATGGTGGCTGCCGTGACATTTTGGCGCTAATCTAGATAGATTTGAGTTCGTCCAATCACTGTAATTGTCAAAAATTAAACATCCAATGGAAACACCACTAGCTAATATCCTATTAGACGAAAAGAAGAGAGCTTCACACTGGCGACATCTGGTGAGCAAAAACTACTGTGGCCTCTATTCACTCAATTTAGTAGTGTTCTTCATTTCATTACTGGATATGATAAACCTTGAAATTCATAAACCTTCAATGCATGAGGCTTACTGAACCATCTCATAGACCATCTATGACCAAAAATAGCTTGAAAACATATTCCGATCACCCAGAAAACCCATCTTTATCAGTAATAATGTACATCATTAATTATTCTTACCAGGCAGATTTCAGCTTTCCATTATTAACATAAGCGGTGGCAGCCCTGAGTTCAGGTTGCCGCATTCTCCACGCGTGGTGGAGTCGCAATTCTGCCTCATGACGAAGCAACTGCTCTTCCTTGGCCATGATACCCTGGTTGATGTCCTGCAGAGTTTTTGTGGGCACTTTGTTTAAGTAGGAACTGGAAATAAATACAAAATTGAATTAAATTTATAACTTCTATCATTCGAGAACATGTTTGTGCATTAATTTTCGTAAGTTTAGAAACAGTTTTCCAGTCAAGTCAAGTGTGGGAGAGCCATGCTTCGAAACGAATGGGTCGGTTCGACCGGAGTGCTAGCAGGATCTCACAAAAATCCGTGAAACAACCGCCGGGTTGTGTTTCGCCGTGTCAGTGAGGTTACCGGAGACCCAACCCTTCCCCTCATCCAATCCTTAAATCTCCCAACCCTTATCTTCAAAACGACAACGCAGTCGTAGGTAAATCCTTCGTTGTTGCGGGTGCCCAAAGGTGGCGATGATTGCTTACTGTCAGGCAACCAGTACGACCGTTTGTAGTCAACCACATAAAAAAAATTACTTACTATGTAATAATAATAACTACTATTAAACAGCAAACAAATAAAATTCTTACCCATTCTTAAAATACTTTGGTTGAGCGGCTAAATTCTTTAATTCCTGTTGGAGCTGCATGTTCTCTTGAAACAACATTAGTTCCAGTTTTTTGCGTCGCTCCTCGAGTTGTCTAAAAAGTAGGTACAAACAAAAAAGTTTAAATACATTCCTATGTAGACAATCATTAGTACAATTTTGTATATTTTCTAGTGTAATAACAATATCCTTTACACACAAAAAATGATCATAATTTTAACTTGCTTTTTGCTAGCATCCTTATTTGGTGCTGAGTTTAGGCGCAGCCATTTTTTGTTGGGTACAATGAATAGTTCAATGAACTTTGCAAGGTTTTAGGAGAACATTGTTTTTACAATAATAAGTATTGAGGCAAATTATAGCATTGAAGAAGGTTCAAAGTTATCTGCTGTATTCCTTCATTTATTTTAGTTAAGTACTGCCTTTCCTGTTGAATATTTGTAACTAGTATTGTGACTTCCAAGCAATCTAAAGTCAAAGTCAAAGAACATTTATTCCAACTAAACTACATAGTAAACACAGAAATGTTTCAAAAACGTCAAAATAGAATAAAAGTTGGCTAGTCTTTTTGTCTACCTACTACATATTAGTTCAGAAAAAAACAACTTCAAAAAGTAAACATAATATGTGCGTATTTTCATTTAGTTAAATGGAAAAGTATAATTAATAACTATTTCATATGAGAACCACTCTCTTCTTTGGAAGTTGGTGAAAAAAGTTTAGTACCTAATACTGATTTTGTTTATGGTTGAAAACAATATAATATAATTAATTTTTTCTTGTCATATATAAAAATTTAATTTACTTTTTAACTGCTTTTAATAATAAGTAAATACAAAGAAAAGCTTCTTTTTAATGTTTTAACTATCTTTAACGGTCAATGATACTCACGCAGCTCGAATCTTCCTCTGACTAAGTAGTTCAGCCTCTTTGTTGGCTTTCTCATAATAACCCTCAGTTGTCCATTGCTCATGATGTCTAGACTTATTTGTATTAGTTTCAAAGTATGTGGCCACTTTCTTCAATTCTTCAGCTCTCTTTATTTCATTATCACGCTTTTGAGCAGCTAATGCTTGGAGCTGCCACTGTGGTCGGGGACGAGACATTGTTATGAATTGTATCTGAAAATACCGCATTAACACTGAATCATAACAAAACAACTATTCTAATTTTCTGTAAAAAAAGTTTTCTTGTTATTAGGAAGTTGAATAAAAATAAAATTGGGGTAAGCTTTATTGTTATTTTTATTATTTTCCTTGTTTTGTATAGTTTAATATGTGGTTCATTAAAGCATTACTTAAATATACTAAAAACAATACTCTTAGCCAAGTTGATAAACAAATTAAACAATGTAAATATTATACAACTTTAAATTAAAAGAGTGCTTAAATATCAAGACTATAAGCTTCTCTAAGACTTACAATGTTATTAACAACTACATATTACATTAAAATTGCTCCAGTCCAGTGACTAAACAATAACCATGAACTCACTGTCAATGTTAATCAGGCATTCTTGAACTTACCTTACATTTACAATTTAAGTAAATTCTACCTACAGTTTCTCTTTTAAGAAAACACAGATTCTATACTATAGCTAAACATGTTTTAACACTAAAATAATGTTTATTGGTTGTTACAAAGAATTAAATAAAAGAAAATACGGCATTAACACTTGAATCACAACAAAACAACTATTTTAAATAAGTTACTTAAGATGTGATTTTATAGCACCTGTACAAAGTAACCACCGAATAAGGAATTATTTCCGAAACAGAAGTAAATGAGTCACTTTGCGAGATCAATACATACCGACCTCTGTGGTTGACTGCACACGCTTGAATCCTCCTTGGTAATGATCCAACTCAATTACATGACGGTTACATTCGCTGGCGTGGGTGCTAAAACGACCCGTAATTGGAACATGTGAGGTCAGACAACTTACGCTCAATTCAATTTACTTCCTTATAAATTAATTTTCATTGCCTGCATTCACGCGATTTGAAATAAAACGTTAAGCTACTTGCTGCTGTCAACGCCAAACATAAACAAAATAGTGTCAAACTGACAGTTGCCTAGCAACGTGGTATGTTCCAGTTCAAGCAGTTTTGTAACAAAAATAATTAAATGTATACAATAATTATTATTGTATCAAAAATACAGTTTTGTATAATAATATAAATGAAGAACTAACGCTTATATCTATATAAGTGTTCCAAAAAACCCACTAATGGCTAATCATTATAAAATAAACAACAATAGCAACATTGACACTTTTGCCGACACATTTTATCATCCTACCCACTCATAATATTTTGATAACCAACGTTTTTATCAGTCATTTTCCTAAAAATATCTTTTTTTTTAACTATTCTAAGTATTGTTTACTAGTGGTAGAAATCGTAAATTATTCCTCATTTATTATAATTTCTTTATAAATTGTGAATTATTTCATATTTATCTTGTAATTCGAAAGTGATCTCATAGTTGAAGATATAGTTAATTTACTGGAAACACCCCTTTTGCCCCAAAAACCTTTTGAAAATTGCCTACGTAAATAAAAAATGTGTAGTTTATTTTCTTTCAGCTGTGTTTCGCCCGTTCATCAATATCATTGTGCTTTCATGCTACAATTATCTTCTAGAAATATTATGTAAATACATATTAGAGCTGGCAGCTGGATTACCTGGTGGTAAACAATCAGCGCCGCCTATGGACACCCGGAAAAACAAAGGAGTTGTGAATACGTTGCCAACCTTTTGGGCATAAAAGTATTGGAGATTCAAAAAGGGATTGGAGGGGGGGAGAAAGTTTGGGTCTCTGGTAACCTCAATCACTTGGCGAAACAACGCTGTGGTTGTTTCACGCTAGTTTTCTGTGAGGCCGTGGGATGACTCCGGTCGGGCCGACCAATTCGTGCCTGCATGCAAGCATAGCTCTGCCAGACTTCATAAACAAAGTCACGTGCATGCTATTAATTGCTCTCTTTTATTTTGCAGGCGCTTCAAATTATTTTGAATATATTATTAGATTTTTTTTCAAGTTGAATACGTGATGTATAATGATGGCAGCGTCTAATAGTAAGTATAAAGCCTTTACTTTTTATGTATAACCCCTACTAGTACCTATTATGTCTTGTCACAAGAGTCCCAATCTTATTCATGAGAATTCACTGACAAGTAGAGTTTGTTTCTTTGTTTGAACATGCTAATCTTCAGGACTACTGATTCGAATTGAACAATTCTTTTTGTGTTTGTTAGTCCATTCATCGAGAAAGTCTATAGGCTTATACCACGCTACAATCTAAAGAAGCCGTGGGTTAAATAGCGCGAGAGTAGTTAGTATCATAGAAATCAAAGTTGTAACTTTTTACACGAACTTATAAGTGCATCGTACTGCAATAACCCGACAGCCATGGCGAGATGAAACGCAGTCATCCGCTTCATTTTGTGGTTAGCAAAAATTACTCAGAAACCTTTTTATAATTTCCCGGCTCGTGCCCATTGTACTTATATTTAATTGAGGAAGTGGCTTCAATATTGTAAAATTGTTTATTATCACAGTAACATTATATAACAACTAGAAGGCTTTGAACAGATCTCGGTTGTTTACTAGGTTTTATAAGAATATATATCGATTTTATTTCGTGCTTGACTGAGTTAGGCTGCTCTGTGAGATAGTAACTGAGTCGTAAATGCTTAAGTTAGAAATCAGTTCCTTTCTTCTGAGAGGGAAAAATCATCAATTAACTTCTCTCGCTCATGGTGAGGTGAGAGAGAGTGTCAGACTCTTACTGACTAAAAATCAACCCGATCCTGTTTGATGTCCGCAGACCCACGCTTACGGCGGCCCATGAAAAACCAACCTACTTCCCATATAATATTTTTAAACTCTTTAATGACCTCGTCTTCATTGATCGGCCCGAAACCCGCAAAAGATAAAAGATCCACAAATTGTTGTTTCGGGTCTGGGTGTCATGTATATGTGACAATGTATGTTTGTAAACGCAGCCACAACACAGGAGAAAATCCTAGCAACGTTTTTTATATAAAAAAAAGAAAAAAAAACTGTTTCTGTAGTACCTAATGTACATGTTAGACATTTGGTTCTTGCTACTCCCTCTTGCCATTCGAGTAATTTTAAAACTGATAAAAAGCGATTCCATAAACATTTCATTCGTTGGTGCTCCTTTATTGCCTATATTATTGCCCATTGAAGTATTCTTGACATAAGAATTGGGGTAGAAGAAGGTCACAATCATAACGCTTTGGTTATTCCACGCCGGTTTTCTGTGAGGCCGTGTTATCACTCCGGTCTGAAAGTTTATACAATGCTCTAAGAATGTAATATTCTTACGTTAACTACACTATTACGTTACCGCCTAGGTGTGGCGGGAGGGGGAGGGGTGTGGCGGGAGGGGGAGGGGTGTGTCAGACTCTTACTGACTAAAAACCCTCCCGTTACTTCTTCTGCTTTAGGCCCGCGCTCACAACCCCGCCTTAACATCAGCCCTGTAGATAGGCCCCCGTCTGTAAGTCGACCTGCGAATCCAATATTATTATTTTAACGCGTATAAGTATAACAACCACAAAGCCAGTAATGTTTTAATTCTTTTATTGATTCTGCTGGACCGAATTTCATGGCCCTTTTCATCAATATTTTTCACAGTAAGACCTGTCTTCACAGTCTGAGTCTGACACCTTAGTTCTATGGTAGATAAGCACACTCGACAGACAAACTGATAATAATTTTCTTACTAAAACAACTTTTCTCGACGTTCCCATAGTTTCCGGCTACTTAGGTTTAGACTTACGTAACGACCTCTCATTAAAGAATAAAAACCGATTAGGTATCTACATAAAATAAAATACTATTTAAGAAGCAATTCAACGAACTTTGCCCCCTCTTAAACGTAATTGGATGCCTACCCGTAAAGTTATTCTTAAATAACGTCCAATCTTAAGCAATTATTTGCATAACTCGAGTCCAAAGTCGGATATCAAACTGTAATCTATCTAATAACTGTAGGCTAGGTACGCGGTACTTAGCTACGAGCGTTTATACGAACCAGTAACAGGCCTAGGGAATCCGGCATGACCAGAAACTAAATATATACAACGCTTACTACAGCCAAAGTATAACCACATATGGAGAATAAGGAAACAAATGTGGCATTTTCTCGTTTTCAAATCTTTGCTAATTAGTTTGAGATTTTAATTCGTGAAGTATTTAAAAAAGCTCTTATTTTCATTGAGTCGTCCAAAGCTTGCGGCCTTCAAGGTGATAGCGGGTCACATTCCGACAGGTAGAGCGAGATAGAGATACTTACCTTCTGTCTCTCTTTAGATACAATGGAGGTTCGTGTTGTGTTGCAAGAGAGAGTACAAATAGTAGTTTGGTAGTTTCTGGTACAAAGGTGTATTTAAAATTCGTATGTTATTTAAATATATTAAAATACTAAAAATCTATTATTTCCAGTAAATAATTATTTGATAATCATTTTGTTGTGTGCTTACAGCTTTTTTCGAATGAATAAATTAGCAGGACGTAATTTTCACAAGATTACAAACATAATAAAAATAAAATAAAACGATAAGTAGTAATTCTGTTTAACTGAAAATTATACATAGAAAACCTTACTCTCAGCGATATACTTTATTATTTTTATTAGTAGATATACTTACTTGCAAATTAATTAACTAAAACCATTATTTTCAAATAAATTATAACTAAATTAAGGTAAGTATATAAATCCAAAAGAGACCCTTATCATGAACTGCATACAAGTAATCAAAAGTTGTGGAGACTTCAGCAGTTAATACCACCCGAGACGTTGGCAGCCCCAACGACCGGCAGTCAGTCGTTCAGAGGCTGCGCAAGCGCATGCCATCGCCGAACGTTAGCATCGACTTACAAAAAACTGAAGTCCATCCTCCGAGTACATCACCCCACGACTTTAACCAAACTGAAGTCTAAATAGTGATGCGATAAAGTGATAAAACCTAACTAGTGATGTGACACATTTCAACTAGTGTGTATATAAAGTGGTTTACGATTGATATTTTTTGTTTGTCCGCCTGTGTGAACGTAATAACCGTGTTCTGAACCAAGAAATGGGTTTATAATTGGTCTAAATCAATGGCCACGATGGTGAGTTATACCTATTTGAGGTCCAAACCTTAAAATATTATTGTATGCATGTGTGCGTAACTCTACACTGTACATAACAGTGTGTATAGTTGTAGGCTTGTTAGTATGTGCAGAGAAATGCTTTCATCTTTTATAATATGTCTTATGTATAAACGCTGTAAGTTGACAGATTATGTATTTAAGTGTGTATGAAACTCTGTATCAAAGCTTGAAGTAAGTAACACCTGCCATTTCTAAGTCGGCGAACTAGAAAGTTGTTTTGATGGGTTATGTTACTTTCAAGTACTTTATCTAAAGCTATATGATCATTTAACTGCGTCTACAGTGAACTTATCTGTATTTTTATGATGTATACACGGAGAAAATGTTGGATATTCGTGTGCGCAAGTTAGCGTTTGTGTGTAGA